CCCGGCGTTCCCAGTGTTCCCTGTGCTCCCGGCGCTCCTGGTGCCCCTGGCGTTCCCGGTGCTCCTGGTGTTCCTGGCGCTCCCGGTGCTTCCTGCACTCCCGGTGTTCCTGGTGCTCCCGGCGCTCCCTGCACTCCCGGCGTTCCCAGTGTTCCCTGTGCTCCCGGCGCTCCTGGTGCCCCTGGTGCTCCCGGTGCCCCCGGCCCTGTTGGTCCTGCTGGCAAGAACGGAGACCGCGGTGAGACCGTAAGTGATACCCTGCCCGTTCCCCCTCAGCCCTCCGGTGGAGGGGCCCAGGAGTCCTGGCCGCCAGCCCTGATCCAAGCCTGGCCCTCGGTCTTGCTCTTGCCGCTGGAGGGAGCTTCCCCTCCAGGCGCTGCCGAGGGGACCCAGGCGTCCTGGGGACCCAAGCGTCCCTGCTGCCACCGGCCACCACTGCCCACTGTGCTGCAAAGAATGCACCTGAGGATGCTCTGACCCGTCTCCTTTGTCCCCCTGCTCTAGGGCCCTGCTGGTCCCGCTGGCCCCCCTGGTCCTGCTGGTGCTCGCGGTCCTGCTGTAAGTCCAGATCCTTTGTCCCCACACGGGGAGAGGGCGACAACCCCACGGGCGCCCGGGCAGCACCCGGCCTGGTGTAGCCCCATGATGCTCAGCACCTCACCTCTTCCTCCTCCTCCTCCTCTTCCAGGGCCCACAAGGTCCCCGTGGTGACAAAGGTGAAACTGGTGAACAAGGTGACAGAGGCATGAAGGGTCACAGAGGCTTCTCCGGTCTCCAGGGTCCCCCTGGTCCTCCTGTAAGTACTTCTGCCTCCTGCGCAGGGTCACCCGCTTGCAGCATCACCCCAAAGGGCTCAAGGGGACAATATCTGGGTCCCCAGAGTGGTCACGTTGCGGATGCCACCTGCTTCCCATGGGGACACGGCTGCCATCGGAGCAGCCCCACGCGGGTCTTGATGCATGAACGTGATGCCAACGGGACATTCTCTCTCTCTGCTCCAAACAGGGTGCTCCTGGTGAACAAGGACCTTCTGGTGCTTCTGGTCCTGCTGGTCCCCGAGTGAGTACCCCCCACTCGCAGGTGCCTGGGCCATGACGGCCTCCTGTCCCTGCGGGGTCCCCCGAGCGCTCAGCCCTTCTTCTCGTCCCCGCACAGGGTCCCCCTGGCTCCGCTGGTGCCGCCGGCAAGGACGGTCTCAACGGGCTCCCTGGCCCCATCGGCCCACCCGGTCCCCGTGGTCGCACCGGTGACGTCGGCCCTGTCGTACGTAGCGTCCCCGCGCGCCCGCTGCCCGCTCGCCCTGCCGAGCCCCGGCGCTTCACCTCGCTCTTCTCCCCCAACAGGGTCCCCCCGGCCCTCCCGGCCCCCCAGGTACTCCCGGTCCCCCCAGCGGCGGCTTCGGCTTCAGCGTCCTGG